TTTTTTTTTTTTTGCCTTTGGAAGAGAGAAGAGTGTTCGATTCTGCCCTATTTATGTTTCTACTCGGGAACAAACGGTTCTGTGTGTGTTTCCTTGTGTTGGTTTTTTAAAGAAATGGGAAGAAAAACTCCCTTCTCCCCTTTCCCAGCTCTCGCTCCACCCCCCCCACCCCGTTCGCCCACACCGCTGCCCCTCCCCATTTTGTTGTTTTGTTTTGCTACGAGCCCTCCACATTCCTGTTTGTAATCCTTGGTTCTCCCGGTTTTCTGTTTTCAGTAAAGTCTCGTTACGCCAGCTCGGTTCTCTGCCTTCTTCCCTCGCCGGGGCCTGCTGGGCCGGGCCCCCGCCCTTTCCCTTACCCCCGCCCCTGCTCGGGAGGGGCAGGCACATCTGGCGCGCAGCGAGCGCCACCTAGGCGCGCTTGGTCGTGCGCGATGTCGGCAGAAGTCCAGGTTAGGTGGGGGCCACTCGTGTCCCCAGCCAGCGTTTAGTACTAGTGAGTTCGCGGATGTCCTCTCCGGGGAGGAGGGACTTCGGGATGAAAAGGGGCAGGTCCAGAGGCCGGAAGGAAAAGGCGAAAACGTTAGCCTCCTGAGCCTCCATTTCCCTGCCTGTAAAATGGGTAGAACAGTTGTCCACTTGCCCCACGAAGTTGTGAGGATTAAGAGTTTGCTTACAAATCAGCGCTCATTGTAAGTTTTTATTATCCTTTTGTGGCTTGGGAAACTGATCTCAGGACTAGAAAGAAGGTGGCACGGTTGGGATCTGACCCAGGTGGGCTTGCCTCCAGGCCTGGAGGTATGATGAGTATGTTCTGTGGGACTTCCTTAGAACACTGACTTGAGTCCAGGACTTTCCAAGTCTTCCCCTGCTCTGGAATCCTTTTTTCCCATTTTAAAGGAACTAATGTTCAGAGAGGCTAAGTGACTACTTTGGGAGGCTGCAGGGACATTTGGACCATGGCTTCCCACCGCCAGAGCTTTGACTGCCAGACTGTCCTGCCTGCTCTGGCCTTTGCTCTTGTGTAGGCAGAAGACCTGGGCCTTGGGCTTCTGCCTCATTTGGGGTCTGGAGGGACACAGGCATTGGTGGCCAGGGGCACAGGGCAGGTCGAGCTGGTAGGCATGTGTGAATGCCTAGTATATACCCAACCCTGCTAGGGAACGTGGTTGTATTGTGCCTGTTTTGTAGATGAAAAAACAGGAGGCACAAAAAATGAAGGTCACGTGCCCACAGTTGCTCAGCCCCTAAGAGAGCGGGGCCTTCACCACCTATGGGTTCCCTCCTCCTCACCCTGGCTGCCCACTTTTCAAGTTTGTTTTTTAACTACGTGGCCTCACTTGTACAGCAACCTTCAGGCAGATATTTCAGGAGGGGGGCCCAGGAATGAGAAGGAGGCTGTGCCAAGACTGCGTGGATACAGAGGAGACCAACAACTATGTTTTGGGAATAGAACTTGACTCTTGAGGAGAGTGAGTCCCAATTTGGGTTGCCGATCTGCCACCGCGTGACCTCAGCCAAGTCCTCTCCAGCTCTGGCCTCTACCTCTTGTGCTGTGGGTATGTTCATAGGCAGGTAACATCTTCCAGCTCAGAAATCAGAAGTACCTGGAAGACAAAAAGCGAGATGATACTCAAGGCACCCCATGCAGACCCCCATCTATAGGGGAGGGGAGGCCCAGGGGAGGTTTCGAGATCTTCCCAACTTCCCCTGAACTTGTCTTATTCTCAACACTTGTGACATCAAGTAAGTGTTTTTTTTCCCTGCACACCAACCAATTCTGCAACACCAGAAGCCAACGGGGCATCCTACAATTCAATCCTGACCCTAGCTACTGGAGTTAGCACAGACCTCACCGGTGAAGGGCTCAGTTCCGTAAGATGGCCCTCACTGAAGCTGCAGGTCGCAAGTCCCTCGTTGCCACCTATACTTCTAAACCAGCTATAAACAGTTTATATTCACAACTGCCTTCTGAGTTTCTTTCAATCATTTGCCAGAACAGCTCACAGTGCCTAGAAAAGAAGTTTGCTTAAAATTACTGGCTTTTCATAAAGGATACAACTCAGAAAAAAACAGCCAGAGGATACAGGAGGCAAGGTATGGGGAAAGGACACAAACCCCAGCGGTTTCTTTACTTAGACAAGATTGATTAAATCATTGGCCTTTGGTGATTGACTTCATCTCCCTCTACCCGCTGCCTCCCCTCCTAGGAGGTTTGGGAGGTGGGGCCGATTGGTCCAACCGTTAAGCATGCATTGGTCTTTGGAGCCCCCACTGGAAGCTGTCTTAAGGGCCACCAGCCACCACTCATTCATTAGCATACAAAAGATCACTTTGGAGATTCCAAAAGTTTTTTAGCAGCTGTGTGTTACAATCTCTGCTAAATGGCTGAGCCTGAACCTGAACCCCAGGTCTGCCTCCCAGAACCTTGTGGCTATGTGGAGTCCCTATCCTTTCCTTAGCATGTGACCTGCAGGTGTGTTTTTTGGAAACCACAGATCTGATCCCTACTTGAAACCTTTCTAGAAAAAAGTTCTTGACCTGGCCCTGGGCAAGTCTCTCCAGGCACCTCCCCACCCAAGCTGTCTATTTCCTTAACATCTGGCCTCAGGGCCTTTGCAAGGCTTCCAGCCTGAGCTCCTCTCTCAACCTCAGCTGTAGACAACCTCCTCTGCAGCCGGTGGATCTGCAACTACCTCCCGGCTGGGCCAGGGCCTTGTTGGGCCCCCACAATGTTCTGTACTTCCGCCACGATTGCCCTGACCACTCTGGATTTGTGTGTAGTTCACTGAGGGCATGGACAACGGGATGGTCCTGGTCACTCCTGAAACAAAGGACATAAGTCTTGTCCAACTGCTGTGTCCCTGGTATTGCCTAAATCACCCCAACTGTGGAGAAGAGTAGGGCGTCCCCACTGGCCTCTTGCTCTGGTGTTCCCCAGTGGCTCCCCAGAGAGGCCAGGCAGAGACCCCTGGGCCAGGCTGGGTGGCTTTGGCAGGATCCTGCTGAGCTGAAGCCAAGGTGTGTCCCAGCCCTGGCTGGGCCAGCCCTAGAAGGTGACTGGGGATGGGGGCCTCACTCTCCTCTCCAGGACTGTGGCTCAGCGTCAGTATACCTACTCTGGCCAGGTGACCTAGGGGCCCTAAGGGGCCCTGGGCCCAGCCCACCCTAAGAAGCCCCTACCCCCCGAGCCACACACAGATGCCTCTTTCACCTTAAACCCTCTCATGGCCCCCTGGCACCTTCTGCAGAAAGCCCACACTCCTCTGTCCTGAGTCCCACCTGTTCGGCCTCCTGGTGCCGGCCTCTTCTTCCTCACCTCCAGCTACATCAGCCACCATGTTCCCTAATCATGCCGGCTCTCCCACAACCAACACCTTCACCCTCTGTAGGGCTCAGCCCATCCCACAGTTCACACCCCCAAATTATTGGAGTTGTGTCCTCAGGCCCACATTAGGTCCCAAAGCAAAGTAGATGCCACCAAGTGCCCAAGGTGTTGTGCAACTGAGCCTGTCTTCAGACATGTGGAGGGGGAGAATTTGGGATCTCTTCTGTGCTTGGAGCCCTAATTCTCTCTTCAGGATGGGTAGGACATAGGTAGCAACCACCACAACCCTCAGCCCTGAGCCAGGTCCTGTCCCCTGACCCTCCCACCAATACCTCACTCAGTCTACTTTCTAGAATCCCCTTTCCCGGGGAGCTAATGGGGATTGGCTGGAAGGTGCCTGTGAGGCACAAAGCCATTGTGATACCAGGGCACCAAAGCTGGCCATTTGGGCTGGTGGGTTCAGCTTCAGGGGCAGGTAAGTGGTAGAGGGCCTGGTGGGGGATGGAAGGTTACAGAGAGACCAGTTGTTTTCCCCTGGTCCCAGCACCCTAGAGTTCTCCTGATCTCTCCAGGGTGCCCTGAGAGGTGGTCAGCAACTCAGACCCTCAAAGCAGGGGTGCTTGGGGCCCCCACAGGCCTATAGTGGGTTTGTCTACTTGGAGGGCCCAGCTGGGAAAGCTTATCACATCTCCTTGGACTTTGGAAAATGGTCTTAGAATGTGTAACAGATAGGGAAACTGAGGTTCAGAGTAGTTTACTGAAAATTGCCAAGCCATCCAGTAGGCTTATGTGTCAGGGGGTCCCTATTCCTTCTTCCCATCCTCTGTAACCCCAGTTCTCACTCCATTGTACGGTTCAGTTCATCACAAGAGCTAAGCTAGGTGGTTGACAAAACCCCAGACCCTGGGATGGACCATTTCAGATCCTGAAGCTACCGTTCGTCCGTCCGTCCATCCATCCCTCCATCCATCCATGTGTTCATTTCCTTATTTACTGATCTATTCATCAACTTCATTCATTCATCCATTTTTCCACCCAACCCTTCATCCATCCTCCAATTCATCCACTGTTCATCCATCCACTGAGTTATCTATTCAGTATCTAGTCATGCATCCATCTATTCATCCAGCTTCCAATCTACCCAACCACTCAATTTATCCATCAATGACCCAACATCTGTCCATTCATAACCTAGAGCCAGGCCCTAAGACTGAGATGGGGATGCAGAAACGACTCAAACTTGATTCCTGCTTTAGGAATTCACAGCCAATGGGGAGAAACAAATAACACCACACACACATGCGCCCACAGAGACACAAACAGGAAATTTCCAAAACACTGTGCTGTATCCACAGTATGTCCCAAATACACAGGAAGTACAAAAAGCAAGTAGATGAATGGGCATCAGGTGAGAACATGCACTGTGTGTCAGCGCCGAAGCAGCCACAGGATCCTGAGGCAGCCATGGGTACCAAGACCACCTGGGCAGGTGGCCAGGGGAGAGAGCGCCTCTGAAGGAGAGGAGGCGGATCACAAGGTGCTCAGAACAAGACATGCAGCAGCAAGTGCCCCGCCTCGCCAGGAGGCCTTTTTCTTGTCTGCACAACCTCAGTCTCTGACCACCTTCCCATCACGCCCACTGGCAGAGCTGATCTGCCTAGGAATCAAGACAATGCAGCAAGCAACTCAGCTACAGCTGAGTGGGCAGTGCCCTGTCCAGTTCTCATCCACCACCAATCTCCAAGACAAAATGAGGTCCCTGGGTCCACAGCTTCGGCATGAGCCATCTGCATCCAGGGGACCTTTCTGCAACAGCCAGACAAGGACAAGACGGTGCCTCACCACATCTCACGCCTCCGGGCTGTGTTTTAGAGCCAGGCCTTCAAGAATGTCCTGGTGAACGAGATGGATATGATGCTGTCCCGTGCAGCCACCCTCATCCAAGCCAACTGGAGAGGCTGCCGGCTCTGGCAGAAGCTGATCTCTCGGATGATGGCAGCAAAGGCCATCCAGGAGGCCTGGTGATGCTTCGGCACCACGCACCTTCTTCAGTCTGACAAGGTAGTAGAGAAAAAAGTGACTGTGGAAGAGGGACACATCCCTTACCACCCCCTACCGCAGGTGCGACTCCAACATCTAAAAGAGGGCAGGTCTTTTCTGAATCAGCCCATAATAGCAAGGAGACCCAGGTCCCTTCCTCTGACAGCCTGAATGCCAGCCCTGGCCTGCTGGCCCTGCTGCAGACCTAGGGCACTCCACAGCCCAGTATGCAGGCTCCTTGTGCTGCCGGAGGCCCCTTCCTACCGCACTAGTCTGTTGCTGTCAGACTTCCGTATCCAGTGAGTCTAGATGCAAAGCGCCATCCGTGTGTGCTGACGAGAACCACCATAAGTTCCTGCCCTGTCCATGGAGAAGGGGTCCCACTGAAGAGCAAGCAAGCATCTGCTAGAGTCAGCAAGGCAGGAGCCCCAGGGCTGCCACGGGGTGGAAGTTATGCGCAGGTAGTTCAGGGATCACTCAAGACCCCGGCCCAGGCCCATGTGGAGGCAGAGGTCTTCAGAGCCTTGCCCCAGACATGCCCAGAGCCTGTGATAGCCAAGAAGCCACCCCAGCCGTGCCCAGAAGCCCTGATGACCAAGGCCCCAGCCCAGATGCGACCAACTGCTTCAATGACCAACACTTCACCCCTGACAGGATCTGTGGCCATCAAGATCCCAACCCAGATATACATATTGGCCTCAACGATCAAGGCCCCAATCCAGAAGTGCCTCACGGCCATGACAAGCAAGACCCCATGCAAGACGTGCCCAGTACCTTCCATGGTTGAGACTATCTCAGACGCGTCTGGTGGCCCAGATGACCAAGACCACACTACAGACGTGTCCAGCAGCCTCCATGGCCAAGATCCCATCCCAGACGCTCCCAGGGGCCTGAGCAACCAAGACACACCTGGCAGCCATGGTCACCAAGACTCCGGCCCAGTCTCGCTTTGTGGCTGCCATCCTCAGACCCTCCGCCTGTCCACTCCTGCAGCCAGGAATCTGAAGGCTCCAGCGGTGGCCGCTGGAATTCCCTGCACTGCACCACACACATATCTGAATGGCCCAAAGCCCAAGGCATGGGGAGCTCCAAGCAGGCGGCAGGGGGATCCAGCTGTCATCCACTCAGGCCTGACTGAGGGAGAAGCCACATACTGGCCCCCACCACATCTGGGGACCACGGCTTGCAAAGCTTCACCCAGGCACCCTTTAGAAGTTGAGAAAATCAAGGCCTTCCCCCAGAAACAGATGAAAATAGGGACAGTATCTAACAACTATGTGGCCATGGAAATGCCCAAAGATCTATCCTGGGCAAAGGTGGCTGAGGACAGAGGCCAACCCTTATTACAGGCACTCCCTCAGGACAGATGCCATTAAAGTCCAATCCCAGATGTATAGGTCTGTAGAAACAGCTGTGGTCTTGCCACAGGACACATGCCCGGCCAAGACTCTGCCCCTGCCCCAGTCCCAGCTGGTCCCATATTCAACCTCAACCTCATCCCAGGGACATCTGCTCACTGAGCTGTCTGCATCCCTGCTCCGGGCATATCTGGGCACATGTCTGGCCACAGCCCTGCCCCAGGAACAAGTGGGCACATGCTTGAGCACCTCACCACAGGGGCAGCTGCTGCCTAAGCTGACTGCTGCCCTGCCAAAGACACCTCTGGGCACGCATCTGTCTAAGGCCCCATCCCAGGCACATTCACCCATAAAACTGTCTAGTGCTCTCTCCCAGGGACATCCACCTGCCGAGCTCACCACAACCCTGAGCCAGTCACACTTGGGCAAATGTCTGTCCAACATCCTGTTGCAGGCACATCTGCCTGCCGGGCTGACCAAGGCGCAGTCCCCAGGCCCAGCTTGCCTCACAAACAGCCATGTGCCTCTATGCAGCTATAAGACCCAGTCCCAGCCACTCCTGGTGGGGGTTCAAGGCCCCCACCCCGACCTGCCAGCACATCGGCACCCTCGGCACTCTGCCCTGAGTGGATCTGGAGGACAGACTGACCCAGCTCCCGCCTCACACCTATGCACAGGGCTGAATTGCTCAGGGCCCGTCCCAGGGGCCTCGGAGACTCAGAGCACGTGGGTGCCTCCAGTGGTGTCTGTCGGACATACCAAACTCGATGCCAAATTCTGGGGTGACACTGGGGCCACCCAGGTGCAGCCGTTGACAGCTAGCCCTACCATACCCCGTCAGGAGGAGCTGGCAGCCTCCCAGCTTGCCTCTCTGGGTGCTGGGCTAGCCTCTGAGCTGGGCATCCAGGAGGGCCTCTGTGCCCTGCTTGCGAAAGCCCTCTCCCAGAGCCAGTATTTGGCTTTTCCCTCAGTCAGGTATGAGTGGAATCAGGTATGGGTTCAGTGCAGGCAGCCCTGAACCAGGCCCTGTCCAAGAAAGTCCTGGGTGCCATAGTGGCCAAGGCCCTGGCCCAGGGCACGCTGGGCCCAGCACTGATGAAGGTGCTATCTTGGGAGGAGACGGGCATGGCCCTGTCCTGTAACTCACCCCCGAGTGAACTGCAGGCTGAACTCACTAAGGCCAAGCAGGGCAGATTGGCAGACATGCTCAGCAAGGCCCTGGAGGAGGAGGAGTGGGCCGCACTGAGCCAGGCTCTGTGTCAGGTGAGCTGGGCGCTGGCCTGAGCCAGTCTTTGTCTCAGGCAGGCCCGAGTTCAGGAGCTGTCTCCCCAAGGCTGCCTCAAAAATGGCGGGAAGCTGGATGACTGTGAGGTCAGCCCCAGTGGGGGAGGACTGCAGTGGAAGCCCATCGGCTGCATGGAGGCCCACCGTGGGACCTGGGAGACAGCAGCCTAGCAAGGTCAGGGTTCGCCAGGATGGGGCCTGGGAGGGCTTCGTCACAGGCTGGCCACCTGGTTTCTTGGAGGAGATGGGGGATGGGCCCATACTTTGGGGGTCACTCTGCTCATCAGTGGTATCTGTGGGTGCCTCCTTGACCAGCAGGGTGATCACAACCTTTCAACAGCATCCCCTGATCGCTGTCCTAGAGCCTACTTTGTTGTAGGGGGCTGGGCATGGCAGAGCCTCCTCCTTAAACCTGTGTCTGAGGCCTGAAGTCAGTGAGGAAAATATATTCCCGGCCTCGGGCCAGCAAATTGGCATCAGGCCTCAACCCCTTGGAGAGTGCTACAGGCCCGATTGTCCAAGCCTTCCCGCCCACAGCCACCCCCCAGTCTGTGGCAGCCAGTCATGGCCAATGGCCTGGCCCCAAGCTCCAGTTGGCCATTGGTGTCCAGTGGCATGGCCTCGAGCGGGTGACATGCATGGTCAGCAGGGTGGCCCTACAGGTGTGGATGTGATCAGGAGAGGCAGGGTAGCCCCCAGCAACCTTCCCAGCACTGCAGGCAGCAGGGGGACCCCCACTCGCACCAGTGTGCCACCACCTATGGGGGGTCTGCTTGTTGCTGTCAGTTCCCCTGGGTCAGCAAGGTGTCCCTTGGTATGTGTCAAGCCTCAGCAGCCAAAGGTCCACAACAAGCATCCACAGTCCCCATGGAAACCACACAGAGGACTCAGTCCCCAAATCATAAACAGGCCTCCATGGGCACTAGGGAGATGATTAAAAAGGTGACCCCAAATCCACCAGTGGCCACCTCAGTGAGCAAAGTGCCCCTAACCCGACCATAGACCCCCAAGGCCAGTGGCCTATCCCCAGATCTGTCTGGCTTCATGGCTTCTGCTCAGCACTGGGCACTCAAAACTCAGGGAGATTCTGGCACATGCCAAACTCCCCCAGACAGCAGGTCAGCACCCACCCTTCCCCATACAGCCATCCCGGGCAGGAGAAGAACTGAGCGCAGGGAAGCGTTGTCCATTGGATCTAGTGACTGGCCATAATACTCCGAACTCGTGGCCAATTTGCCACAGGGTTCAGACAGTGATGTGGCCTGAAGCTTCTCCCAGGTCTCCATGGACTATAGTCTGAATGTGAGCAACTCCCGGATCTCACTGCCTAGCTGCAGCTTGCTCAGCCCTTCCACCATGTCTGCGGCCGGCGGAGCTGCTTTTGACCCGGAGGAGGAAGAGTCGTACCGGGCCAGCTTGGATGGGGCCACCACCTAGATACCCTCCTCTCTGGGGAGCCCCTGGAGAGGCCCCAGCAGCCTGAGGATGTGGAGCATATTGAGAGTGTGGGCCAGAGGCACAGGACCCCAAACCTCCACCAAGAGCTCTGCACAGCCTCAGAGTTGGTCCCCATTTTGTGCCACAGCACTGAGTCCAGTCATGTGACCTTGCGTGTCCACTGGGACTCAGATGGGTAGGATGAGGTTATGTCATCAGACCAAAACTTTATGGGTCCAAAGCAGAGCTTGTCCCAGAAACCCCAAGGGACAGAGCTGACAAGGAGTCTTGTCTTTAGATACTGTGGTTCTGACCATATATCATCAGCCATCGGGGGCCAGTGAAGTGGCTTCAAACCCAGGTCAGCCTTCTATGGCCAGTAGGGTTACCTCTAGCTTATCTGAGCCATATATGGCCAGTAAGGTGACCCCCAGCCTAGCTCAGCCATCTGTGACCAGTGGTGTGGCCACCAGCTTTGCCCAGCCAACCACGACCAGTGGGGTGACCCCCAGCCTAGCCCAGCCTTCTATGACTTTTGGGGTAGTCCGCAGTGTAGGCCAGCCATCAGTGGCTTATGTGGTGGCCCCCAACCTAGGTCTGCCACCCATGGCTAGTTGGAGGGCCCCTAGCTTACTCCAGCCACATAGGACTTGTGAAGTGGACCTCAGCCCAGGCCAGCCATCAATAGCTTGTGTGGTGGCCTTCAACCTAGATCAGCCATCTATGGCTTTTGTAGCTGCCCCCAGCCTAGATCCACCCTCCATGGGTGTGCCCCAGCCTAGCCCAGCCATCTGTGATCAGTGGTGGAAGTCATGCACTCAACTAGTCAATTTGGGCCCCTGGCGGGGGTTCCAATCTCTCATCATGGGTGAATACAGTAGCACCTAGTGTGTATCATCCAGCATTTAGGATTGATGCTGCCTCAGGTATGGCACATCCATCTGGAAGTAGCTCTGTGCGCCGAGATTTGAACCAGTCATTAGTAGCCACTGGGGTGGACCCATGTCAAAATCCTCTGACCACTTATGCGGTGGCCTCAAGCCTCCAGGCATCTGAATTCAGAGAAGTGTCCCTTGGGTTTCATCAGCCAGTTAGTGTTAGGAGACTCCCAAGCATAACTGAGCATTCTGCTGTCACTCTTTCAGCTCCAAGTCTCTACCAGACATCTGTGACCAACAGAGAGGACTTTTGTTTAAGCCAGGTATATCTCAGGGGATTCTGTTCAGGGGCATGGCTACAGGCATGTCCCAGGTACCAGGGCTGCCAGCACGCTCCCAAATACACCTCAGGGGACCCTGGATGCTGGTGTGTCCCGAAGTACATCTCAGGGACCTGTGTCTCTTGGCAAGACAGGGAGGATGTGCCAGAGAAGTGTGGCCACTGGTCTGGGCCCATGGAAATCTCAGGTGGCCAATGGCATGGCTCCCACTGCATCCCAGATCTCTGTGTGGCAGGTGTCCAATTCATGAGCAAGCCTCAGCGAAGGGGCCCCGCTTTTCTCAGGCTTCAGTGCCCAGTGGACTTGGTATGAATCCATCTAAGTTTTCTCTGGCTGGTGTGAGCCCCAGCATGGCTCAGGCCAATGTCAATCTCCCAACATCTTTGGACGACCAGTGTTGTCCTGTGTCCATATTTGCCACACTCAACTTCCAACAAACAAATGCTTTCAGCCAGGAACCTGTGATGAGCACCAGTGGGCTGGTGCCAGGGTCTGTAGCCAGTAGATGACCGCAGCTGTAGTCCCAGCTGTAGCCGGTGGGGTGGCCCCCGACCTATCCCCAGGGTCCATGATCAGGGGCGTGGGCCAGAACCTGCCTCCAGGGTCTGTGATCAGTGGTGTGGCCCCCAGCCTTCTAGCTGTTATATGGTCAACAGTGTGGCTCAAACCCTTCCTCCAGGGTTCATGATGTGTGGCATAGGCCAGGGCCTACCTCCAGTCTGTGGTCAGCAGTATGGGCCTAGGGCTTCCTCCAGGACCTATGATCAAACGCATGGGCCTGGGGCTTCCTCTAGATCCCATGGCTCCCTCCCAGCCTCTCACCAGATTCTGTGATCCGTGGTGTGGCTTAGAGCTTTCCTCTGGGTTCTGCAGCCAGTGGCTTGGCCAGGACCCTGACATCAGGGTCTGTGGCAAGTGGAGTATCCCCCAGTCTGGTTGCACTGGGGGCGCTGGTGGGAGAAGTCAAAGTGTCCCTGTAAGACCCTCAGCTAACCTCACTGTTCCAAGCCTGCTCCTAGGTTCCCGTGTCCCTTCTGTTTCTGTGGCCTCTTGTGTGGCCCCAGCATCTATGGCTAGGGTGCTGAATAAGGGCCTATGTTTGGGATCCATGGCTAGTTCAGCTACTCTGCCCTCTGCAGCTAGAAGCATGGCCCAGGGCCTTCCCCGGGGGTCCATGCTGACTGGGATCACTCCTCGTCCTTACTGTCCAGCCCTGACTGGGGAGGGCTCTACAGCCCCCTTTCCAGGCATCCCATGCCACCAGCCAGGCTGGAGTTCATCCCCAGGCAGCCAGGGCAGTCCACCAAATGTCCACAATTCTGCAGAGAGCCTCACAGTTGAGCCAGGCCCTTGGGGTGCTGCTTGAGGCCACAGACAGCCAAGCTGTGAAGAAAACAGGGGACCTGGACGAGGCTCTGTGCCAGGTGTCCACATCCAGTCAGGAGTCCAAGGCAACCTGCTGGATGCCCCATAGTTCCCTGGGAATTGACATCAGTGACAGCCATGAATTCCTGAGAGGATGGGACTCTTCCTAAAGTCCAAAGGCCACTGTTGGAAGAGGTGGCTCCCAGCCAAGCCAAGTCTATGACCAGTGGCATGCTCACAGTCCCTCCCTCATCCCTGAGTTTTGCTAAGTACATGGCCAGTGGCATCGCCCCAACTCTGCAGCAGATGTCAGCAACCACTTGGGGGCACCCCAACTCTCACTTTGCAGCTACTAGCAGGGTCCCCAGTGTGCAGATGGGGTCTGTCAAGGGCCCCGGGGCCCTCTTGACTTACCAACAGGCAGCAGTGGCTCATGTTGTCCCCCTGAGCCCTTTGGTATCTCAGGTTGTCGTTCAGAGCCATTCCCCTGGGGTAGTGGGTTCTGCTGTAGCCTCAAGGTCACCCACACTGGCCTGTAACAGTACTATAGCATCTAGTTTACTCCTTGAGTGTGTGGCTGGCATAGGGACTCAAAGCACTTCCCAGAGGTCAGGGGCTGCCAGCATGGCTTTCCACGTGTCACCATATCCCACGGTGGCTAGCAGGGCAGCCTGTGGTAGGGTCTCAATGGAAGCCATCCCCAGTGCGCTCCAGATGCCAGTGTCTGACGACCTGGCCCAGAATGGTTGCCATGAGCTTCTGGGCCCTAGAAAATCCTACAGGTCCACACACAATAGCTTTATCCCAGAAATGCTAGATGGTGCTGTGCCTGCCTGTCAGGTGTGGGAGCACATCCCTCCCGGTCCCCACAGGGAGGTCCTGGCTGCTCCAGTTGCACACCACTGGCCATAACGCCCATTAGCTGCCTGGCTGAGGAGGCTCATGCCATATCCATTCCTAGGCTGCACCCAGCAGGTCATAGGGGGTCTCTGGGCTTTGAGTCTTCACTGAGTGGTTCCCAGCAGCCGCTTTTTAGCTGGGAGTCACTGCTGGGGTCCAGGATTTCCTGCGTGCTGTGGTTTCTGTAGACGGTTACAGGCCACCCCTGACTCCCACTGTACAACAGGGTCTTTCAAATGCTGGCAGCCGAGCCTGGAACTCTGAAGTCCCCAGGGTAGCAGCTGGGCCCATGAACAGCATTGTGGCCCCCTGGGGGGCATGGGAGCCCGCCAGGGTCACTGAGACACTGGACGCTGTGAGCAGGAGGACAGCGGTGGATCCCAGACAGTCGAGAAAGCTGGGGGCATCGATATTGATACGGGCTGTGGAGAGGATAACCATCCAGGCTGTGGTCACCATCCAGGCCTATGCATGTGGCTACCTGGTGCCCCATACCATCAAGGTGTGGCACCATGGGGCCATTATCATCCAGGCTGCCTGGCGTGGCTACTGGGCACGGCAGGATCTGGCCTGGCATTCCAGAGCTGCCACGTTCATCCAGGATACCTGGCGAGGTTTCTGCATCTGCCGGGACCACACCCAGCCAACCCTGCCTGAGGGCATGTGGGCCGAGATGGGCAGCAGGGCCAGGTCAACATCTAACCACCGCTGCTTTCAATCCTGCTGGCCTCGGGTCTGCATCCTCTGCCAATCACTGAGTCTTAGGCCGGGAAGCCCACCAAGTGTGCTGATGCTTGTGGGTTCCAGCCCACGCTTGTGCCACGTGTGTGGCCTCACCCTGCCCACGCGGGTGGTGCATGGCATGGGCCAGGGTGCTGCAGGCCGGGTGGGTGGGCTATGGGGCTGCACCAACCAGCCGAACGCCTGGTGCCCCCAGCAGCCCCATCGCCAAATCAGGGCAGCCACAACCATACAGTCCACCTGGAGGGGCTTCACTGTACGCCACTGGATGAGGCAGCAGCAGGTAGCAGCCAAGACAATTCAAGCCACCTGGCGCGGCCACCACACCCGTGCCTGCCTCACTACAGATGCGCTCTTGGACTGGAACAAGCCACAGCGCACCCAGTGACCTTGGCTGACTGGTGGGGGGTACATCAGGGAAGGGGTCATGCGGCTCTCTGGGTCTAATGAATAAAGCCCTCCACAGCCTGGATCTTGGTCCACCTGTGTTCATGGAAGCATCTTGGGCATGGTGGGGGTGGAAATGACAGGATCTGGATCATCCTGAATGGGAGGGGCCCCAGAGCCTCCAGCCAGGCAGTTGGCACCTGAAGTCTGTGACTGGGATGGGCACCCCAAGCCCTTCTCCCAGGTCAGGGCTACCAGCATGGACTCATATGTATCCACCCATGGCTAGCAGGGTGGCGTCCACTTGGTTCCAGGTGGAAGTCATCCCCGGTGCACTCCAGATGTCAGTGTCTGGGGAGCTAGCCCTGAGTGACCGCCATGAGTCCTTTGGCCCTAGACAGTCCTGTGGGTGTGCATGGGTGCTTTGTTCAGGAAGTGCTAGAGGGTTCCAGCCGTGTCCTGCTTTGGTAAGATGCCAGACCCAGGCCAAAGGGTCCCAGTCTGGGTGAGACAGAGCTGGTCATGGATATCCTCAGCCACAGGGTCAGGGTCAGGGCACAGAGGGAGGAGGCTGCCTCAGAGCGGGCAGCCTGGCTGGAGGAGGGGCAGAGGGGGTGACAGGGTAGGTTTGGGGCAGCTATGAATAGGACCAGAGGGGAGGGGAGCTGGAAGGGACTGGGGTGCCTGAAGGGAATGGCAGAGTTTGAGGGCTTCAAGGTTATGGTCTAAAAGAGGGGCTTTCAGGAGAGATGGGGGTCAGATGGTGGGGGGGTGCAGGAATGGCATCCCTGGAGAACTGTAGCATCTCCCAGAGGCACCGCCCCTGCTTCGCCCCTGCGCAGGCTCCTGCACCAGCAGCAGGGGGCGTGCACACAGGTGTAGCGAGCAGGCACCTGGCCACTCACCTGTGCGAAGCCTGCCCGTCCACCTCCTCGCACCAGGATGGTGGGAGCCCAGCTGCCTGTGCTACTGAAACTTCCTAGCGGCATGTACAGTACTTCCACTGTCACCCCTACAGGTGAGGAGGGGGCCCAGCTTCCGGGGAGCTGGTGAGAGGTGTATGACCCAGACACACACCTGGCATCTGGAACCCTTCCCTCAGGCTACGTGGGTCTGCCAGCCCCCCACCTCCCAAGAAGGGCTGCTGCTTCTCTCAGAAGCAAGGTGGGGAGACGGGGAGAACATCTACAGCACCCCACACCTGCACCCTCACCCCAGCTCTGAGGCTGCCAGTTCTGCCACCCCAGTGTGACCTGGATCAGTGAGAGGCTGGTGACTGCCTCATACCCAGTTTGAGGCTCCTTTTCAAACCTCAGGTTCTCTTAGCTAGCCCTGAAAGGGTATCTCGCCGCGACCCTCCTTACCCAGAACTACTCAGGAGACACGGGCCCACGCAAGAGACTTTATTATCTGAAAGAGAGAGTGGCTGCCCCAGAGAGAGGGCTGGGGGAGAGAGAGAGAG